ACTAAATGTTCATTATGATTGATTCCAAACTTTGAGGAAGTAATACATTGAAACTTAGTAACAAAGTGGTTTCGCTTTTATCAAAATACGAATAGGACCCTAGTAGTTTAATGTTACAACTGAAATGTGATTAGTATTARGTTTTCCAAGTAATGCCCAGAATTATTCAGACCTTAACATTTCATGACTTCCTGTAAGCTTGGCAGTGTTCTAAATTCTCCTCATAATAGTTCAGAGTTCAGATAAGCATTGATATTTAAACTTGGTAGCAATACATGCGTATAACGCCTTTATTTGGTAGACTACAACTCCTCCTCATCACAATACTGATCTACATGAAAAATGACACTCTTGATTGGCTGATAACAGCTAGGTGCCTTTTTCCTGTACCCCTAGTGCAAAACTCAAGTACAAATGTAAACTAGGCTCAGCAACAATAGATCATATCATAAAACAATGAGATTTATACGAAGTAGGTTGTGCTAATTGATACACACAGTAGCTGAGCAAAATAAACAAAAGCTTGGATATTTTAATGTATATTGCTTAACACGTAACAAAATTGCATTCCTGAGTATGTCAAGTTGACCATTTACATGATGAAGTCATGTTCACCTATTCATTTCATGTCTCCACATAGCTTGAATTTGGGAAACAGCTGGCATGAAATTACGATTTCACCAATAAGAAAACTTGAAAAATTCTGTCGGGTAATTTAAATCATATGATACTATCATGCACTTGCCTGTATATTGAACTGCTCTGTTCAAGTTATGTCTCTCATTACTGTTCCTGAAATCTATTACGATGACACTATTTCTAGTGAACTTCCTGTTAAATAAAACCTCGAGGTCAACTTGTAAAACTTATTAGGTCAAAAATCATCAGCAGTTTTAATGTACGGTTACTTCAGAGTACTACTCAACTTATGATTCATCAAAATGTTGCTAGTGTTCTGATCTTGTTATGCACCTATATTTTCCCTAAACTCTTCCATTTGCAACCTCATATCCACCTACTTCAACTAAACCCAAATACAATAACTAGAGTGAAGTTTTTGCTCCCAACCAACTGAAAATAGGACTTTGTGCCCTAATGGACAATAGAAACCTAAGCTCAGCATTGTGTTATTCTACATGTATGTATTGTCCAAACTTAGTCATACAATCAAACCAAATCAAGCTCCCAATGGC